TAATAAAACTGAATTTACACAAATTTCTTCAGACAATTTTTTTCAGGACGATTAAGTAAGCTTCATAAGTAATTAAACGAGGTCTTGCAAGACTGGCTTCAATTTACTTGCATATTCAACAACAGATATTTTAAGTATTCATGAAATACTTGAATATAAAAGCATCCTTCTTTGTTAACTTAAAATTTTAATTGGAATTATCCTTCATTTTAGCATAAAAAAATGCGGAATTCCTTCGCATTTCATAACATTCACAGCCGCTCTCCAATTATAGAAACAAAAACCTAAATACTTAAATTTTTTTTCTTAGATTTTCGTTTTGTTTTTGTTGACAGCATAAATGTGTATATAAATAAAACCAATTGACGTCACAGTCACAAATTTATATACATATAATTATCTAGATGCAGTGTTTATGTGACTTGAAGTTCATGAGGTATCAGAAACCGGCATTTAGCACATGGACTTACCTCAAATGGCGCAAACACACATTTGCTTTACACTCCGCTCTGAGCGTTCTGCATTCTCAGCTTACTTCTCTCTTCCCAGTACTGCATTTTGCAAAATATTTATTGAATAAAAGATATAATATATGTTTCTCTAAAAATGATTTTTTTTGTTGTCTAGAACTTCACACAATGCATTTAAAGACATACCGGACATAATATTAATTTTACTTTCGTGACTCAGTTAGAAGTTCCCATTGTTTTTCGGGCTTGTTTCTAACACTTCATTACTTTTCACTTTTTCCACTGTTTAATTTATTTTTTTAATTAATATTTTAATTCAAATTTTGGAATAAATAATATTATTATCAATTTTTTTTTAAACAAACTCGTAAACAAACGAAAAAAAATCTGTGCTTGAACTCTTGGCTTGTAGCAAGAGCGCACTCCAGACGAAAACTGAATTCTATGTTAGGGTAAAAATTATTGTATACGGAACTCTTCCTCATACATCGATATTGCATTTTTATTTTGCTCTCCGCATCTTCTGTTCTTCTACAAAAGTATCGCAAGCGCAATTTGAGTTTCCCAGATAAGCCAGTGCGATACCAGTACCCAATGGAACGAAAAATTATGTCAGTTTATTTTTAAAAAATAATATATACAAATTTAAAATTATATAAACACAAGTAAACAAATCTTTCAAAACAAAATAAATATATTGTACTAAATATATCTGCGTTATATTAAATATTTATTAAAACTTAAATACATTGTAAATTGCAATGCATTTGCTTCAGACAAGTATTGTAAACTATCTTTCAAAATTAAGATTGTGAATGAAAAATCTTAATTGCAAACTATGAACTCATTTATATATGAGACTTATAGAACCAATATGAGACTTATATATTTCTTCAACCAATATAGTAGTTACCATTATATACCATCACCATATCTTCAAATGCTAAACATCAGAAACTCTGGAACTGCATGTGAAAACGAAAGAACATTGTATAATATTGTTTTCAGATCAGTTAACAACGATTCTCCTTATATAAACTGAATCATATAATTCCATAAAAGATAAGATCGAAAAAATTTATTCCATTTAATTAGAAAATGTATATAATATATATAATAAGTTAAATAAATACGTAATAAAATAAAATATGAAGATCAGCTTTTGAGTAGATTGATGTTTAAGAAATAAATTGACAATAAAACTTTTTTAACTACAATAATAGTTTTCTCTATAGAGTGAAATCTTAATGAAATCCAAATATAAATATAAAGACAGCCACATTAAACTATTCAACCACATTATAAAAAAAACCTAGTCTTATAGAAAATCTTCCTAATACATAGTGAACTGTCAGCACTGATACCGTAATGTTTTAGTTGAAGCATTTGACTGGTGTGTTTCTTGCCCAGTTGAAAACAGATCGATCTTGTTATGTGACATGAATTTTCTTCAAACCAAGTTGTATATTGTACTATATTTTTATTTAATTGCCGGTTTGACCGATCCCAATATCAAAATCAAAAAATAGACTGCCTGCAATGGCAAGTTCATCTATGCTGCAGTTATCCTATGTAAGGTACCTATTTAAGTTGGACACTGACACTCCTAGCTAGCTCGTTAAAAGAAGCCTGACCTTCTCAAATTGTTAAGAATGTAGCTATAGTACTTACCAGGGATTTGACATCATCATGCCTGTCCGAGAAAATTGCGATATTCACAACAGAGATCATAAAACCTATTCTGCAACAATGATGAACCGCCATTACTTCTGCCTAAACAAGAATTGCATACATTCGGTAGTAAAAGCGAGATACTAAAACTCAATTTATAGATTATTTCATACTAACGGCTCTTTCATCAGTCAAATAATTTTACAAGCAAAAAAATTTATGTTCCTTCGGACAATCCAAATTGAACGGTTTTTAGCAAATGTGTTAGCAGTTCCCAGCTATTATTATAGCTCGTTTTGAAAGATAGACTTCATTGTTAATCCATTCATACTAGTTTTATACTTTTCTTAGCATTTTATACTAGCGAATCTATATTAAAATCTTCAACCAACATTATCTTTGTTAAGGTTTTATACAGTAACTGGATACCATAAATGATTGGTTGCCAAAATTTGGTGGTTTCTTTCTTCATATATGAGACTCTTACCTAGTCTACATCAAATTTACTGTTTAATTTTTCGATGAAAGTTTTGTTAAGCTCACGAAATGATTATATGCAGTTACCAAATATGACTCTACATCAAATATTGATAAAATATATTTCAAAATAAGGTTTTTGTATTGAATGCAATATTACTTCTGTACTTCTGAAAGGGAATAAAATCAGTCTATACTAAATCAGTGATATAGTAATTTGTGTACATGATACTTTAGTGTCTTTAAGTTTCGTACAGACATTCCATACTTCTTGGTTTTGAAAGACACTCTTTCATCTTATAATCGTTTTCTAAAACTGACTGAACCACAATTATCCTTCCTAATGTTAGGTGCTATATCCTTTAATTCAATATTTATTAGATCTGACATACTGTTTCAATTTCATATACTAAAAATAATAGCTTTGTTCCTCATGAGGTCACTTATAACGTTTTTGTATATTTCACAGAATGATTCAGAGCTAATTAATTGATTTGCAGCTCCCTTTCTGATTAGTACACTATTCATTTCATTAAGGTGAACTTGAGTCTATAGATCATTTTTAAGGTACAGATATCTTATTATCTTAACATAATGTAGCTTATTTATAAATTTGTTAGTCTTCTCAACTAGTTTACACCTGATTACTACTAAACAGAATGCCTAACAGAATGAAAAGTCTATCAGTTCTTAAAGCAATATTTCTTCTAAAAGAAAATGCTGTGGAATGTTTTTCCAGAATTTAAAATATTTGAACCCTTTAGTCCAAATATCGTTCAATAATTACATAAACAATTCTTCTTTAACTATTGAGTTTTTGGTTATATATATAATATGTATAAACATTGACTTACTTAAACTTAATATATCTTAAACTACTTCACCAAAAGGTCTGAAACGTGTATCGTCTGTAATTATAATATCTTAAACATATTTTCTTCTCTCACTGCTTATAATTAGACTTCCACAAAATAACCACTAGCACGTGTTATGACAGAAAAAAAGAGAGAATCATGCGCAATATATAGAATAGTGCTCATAAACGAATTTCCTCTCTACAAAACTTAAGTAATACGAAATTTGCAATTATAATATATATGAAGCTACAAATGTAACACACTACGTATAATTAACAAAGTTGCATTGATTTATATTTTGGACATCAGGGCACAGTTAGTGAGCATATGGGTGAAACCATACTGCTTATTGGCTTATTTAGTATTTATGTTAGAAGTGCATTAAACTTAGAAAGAATTTATAGAACAAAATAAATTTTATATTTATTTTTTAGTAGTATTACAGGTAAAATTTTTAAAAACAAAATATTGTTTCGGAACGGGATGAATACACTACTTTCCGCTACGAACTACAAACTGTAAGAAAGATGACGCCATATGTTGTAGTCCTCTAGAACCATTAAATTGATTAGCTACAAGACACGATTCATAAACTGCTAGGTTCTTAACAACATCAGTCAGCGTGTACGTATCCATCTTGTACGTGAGTTCGGTTGTTGTACAGCATTACCCATTGTCACATACCCTCACTTCTATTGCTCAAACCATATCTTATTAGCAGATCATTCTTACTTTATTGTCATCATAATCAGAGTTCATATATCCGGTATACAGATACAATAAAACTAATGAGCAATCAGTGCTCATACTGAGTTTCTGCAATGGTTCTAGCTATTCTATGATGCATACGTTAAAACTGATAGCCCTACAACGTTTGATGTCTTTCCAAAGCGTAGAAAACATGAAAATTGAAATGTAGGGATCGTCCAGTCTACTCAGTTAACCTGTGACTTTTCTTAATCATGTCAAAGCCAAAGTAAATTACGGCTTTGAGTCTGTTGATTAAGGTTGCGCTGACTTTGAGCTTCCAATTTGGCAGGACAAGAGTTCGATTCCTGGTACTTGCAGTCTCCAAAAACTATTTATGAATAATTAAATAAAAGAATATATTTCCAAGACCACTAATTGGTCAGCCAAAAATTCAATTAATTAAAATAATATAAAATAAATTTTTGTTGTTGTTGTTTCATTACTATTCGAAAAACCTAAATATATATATTTAGGTCAAAACTGAGTGTTGTTGCTATTAAGACATTATTGGAATACAAAATATATTAAAGCACTCTTTTAGGCACATTCAAATACTGGTCTTTAGAAGATAATGCATACTTATTTGCCTTATCAGAAAATTAACCACAACCGCAATTTAAATTAAAAAATAAAAATAAATTCAATTTCAACTTGAAATACAGAAATATTTGATTTTTAGTACGCGTGATATTTTCATATTGAACGGACAATAAAATTATATTATTTTTAAGTGAATATTTGTTATAAACAATTTAAGAAATTAAAAATTTTTCAAATGACTTCGAAAACTCATAAAGAACCTTTACGAGACATTGATTCTCCGGATAGTATAGTCAGTGTGGATAGTTTCGAGTTTGAAACTGCCGCGAATTGTTGTGCAGAAAATTATGAAATAATTAATATAAAGAATTCAAATATAAAAAACACAAAAGATTCGGATGATAAAACCATTACAGATGATAGCACAGATGGTCGTCGTAGAAATAAAGATATCAATAGCTATGCTGATAATAAAAATGTTGCCGAAGGTTTTTTTATTGTTTTTTTTTAATTATCTCAATATTCTTAAATTCCAAATTTAGTGAATAAATTTTCAACCAGTTTTGTTTGTTAAAGTGTGAATTAAAAAATGTTAATATTCTTCCAAATATATAGAAATAACCTAGATAATCATATTCGTACTACTATTTTATCATCAAATCATTAAAATTTTAAAAAGTGTAAAAAATCATACCAAAACAGACAGAACTTCTTAAGTTGCAATTGGTTTTAGTAGAAAATAAGACTTATTAATTATATTTTTTATCTAAAATAATATAATTGGTTACGATTTTATAAAAAGTCTAATTATAATATAAAGAATGTACCATTAACTAGATACATTATCTATATCTCCTACATTATCTCCCACTTTTAGAATCGCAACGAAACCGATCTTTGAGGATTCCAATTATAAATAAGAATAAATTGGCATTTTTAATAAATTAACTCAATTATAATTATGTATATACCTTTTTAATATTTACTCCGATTATTTTCACAAACAACAATAATTTTTACGGATATAAGCTCAAACTATTATAACAAAAGCTCTATTTTTAATTAAGTAAATTTTTGACTATACAACTATATTTATATTAGCAAATATCCGCCATCAATAATCTTTAGAAATATTTATGAGTCTAATTATACATTGTGACCGAAAGGTTTTCGGAGGTTCTCATTTAAAATTCGCGCGCTGTATATTTTTCGATATTTTAAGTTTATGTAGTTTGGCAGCACTGTCCTTAATTACTATGCCAAAAATGAGCGCGATCTGTCGGACAGTTCGTTTACGGCAGCTGTTGAAACCAGTTCACCTCAGTAGTGCGTTGCGAAAAAAACAATGGAAAAAAATATTGAACAAAGAGTTTGCATCAAATTTTGTTTTTCGAACGAAATTTCGTGTGCAGAATCGTTGCGAATGCTACAAAAGGCTTATGGGGAATCAGTTTTATCGAAAACTCAAGTTTATGAGTGGTACAAAGCCTTTCAGGACTGTCGTACGACCGTCGAAGACATGCCGCGTTCTGGACGACCTTCGACCTCTACCACCGACGAAAACATTGAAAAGGCAAAGGAAATCGTGTTCAAAAATCCTCATGTGAGTGTTAGAGAGATAGCACGAGAGCTAGGCATCGGTCGTGAGATGGCTCGTTTGATTTTGGTGGACAATTTGTGTATGCGACGTGTCAACGCCCGGCTTGTTCCGATTCACCTCAATTTGTTCAACATTATCAACGATTTTAAGGCCAAACATTCAATAAATACCATCGAACAGCCACCGTATTCACCTGATCTTGCACCGTGTGACTTTTTCCTGTTTCCCAACCTCAAATTACCACTCAGAGGAACGCGTTTTGAATCCATAGAAGACGTAAAACAGAATTCGCAGAGGGAACTCAAAGCCATACCGGAAAGCGCCTATAAAAAATGTTTGATGATGATTGGAAGAAACGTTGGCATTTGTGTATCGCTTCTAATGGAGCATATTTGAAGGAGATAAAATAAATATTGATGAAGATTAAGAATTTTGCGTTTTATTTATTTATGACCGGAAACTTTTCGGTCACAATGTATGAATATAATTTAAAAAATTTTGATTTTTCCATAGTCTTGAGACAACAATAATTTTTATAATAAATGTTAATAACATTAACATTATTAGAGAGGCCCATCAGCTACCTCAACACATTATCCCTATCTTAGGTAACAAAATATTGTTCCTACCTAAAAAGGCATAAGGCTTTTCATCATACATAATTACTATCCTCTGATATGAAACAATTCTCAAGCACTAAGTACCGTCTCTTCGATTAGGATTAGTTGTAGGTACAAAAGAATGCCTTTGGTCATAATGTTCTGATTTATTAGGAACTCATTATGGTATAATCACTTGTCTATCTAGAATTTTGATATTATATTGTCCAGCCATATTTTGTGAACAATAAAAAAAATTTTTGACGAATCTTTATTAATTTAATTTGGTGGTAGTATGTTAAGAAGCATTAATCAGTTCTTAATACTACCAAAAAATCTTAAATAGAAAAATGGACTATCACTTCTCTTATCTTTTCTTATATACATATGACTTTCTAACTTTTTACTGAAATACCTACATTTTGTTAAATTATTTTGCGCATTTATCTGTAGTCCATATAACTAACTAATATATAGGGGATGTATAGGGATATAGTTTATTTGTCTGTAATGAATTAAGTTTAATCAAATAAAACGATCAGTTTTCATATTTATCTGTAGTCCATATAACTAACTAATATATAGCGATGTATAGGGATATAGTTTATTTGTCTGTAATGAATTAAGTTTAATCAAATAAAACGATCAGTTTTCATATTTGAAATGGTATTTAATATCTACTAAAAGATAATGAATGCCCTATAATCTATATGAGAAGTATAGGTATGTCATTGCTATAAAATTAGAATTTTATACACAATCCTAAACAATTTCAAACAAAACAAAAATATTTAATGACTAAATATTTTTTTTGTTTTCATATAAACAATAGAGATAGTATATATATGTATATTACAAAAATATACGCATTTTTAAGGTTTAATGGACATCGCCTTACTTTCTGCAAATGCTAATCAGTTGCGGTTTTTATTGAAATATAATTACGAGGCGTCAACATACTACATCAGTCTGGGTTTGGTGGCACTATCACTTATCCTACAAGTAGTAGTAGGCATTGTACTTATATTTCGGGTAAATAAAAATTTCAATAATCAATAAAAAAACATACACTCCATATACGTATATAACATGTGATAATAGTATATATTTTTCATATTTCAGCGACGTATGAAGTGCGGACGGGATAAAAGATTTGTGCGTACCAATGAGTTTCTAGTTGGTGGTGTCTTCATGGTGACCGTCGTAAATATTCTACTTGCTGCTTTTACGACCACAGATGTTGGTAAATGAATACCCGAGAAAAAGAAACAGAAATCATTTATAATCTTTCATATATATTTTAAAGATATACTATATAAAAATTATACAAAGAAATACATTTAAAATTTAATAATTAAATTATTTGAAAAAAAAAAATAAAAAGTATAAAAATAAATTGCATATACGCCTAAATTGTTATGCAAAAAATTGAAAAAAAAATTTAATAAAATTAAACTCTAATGCGGCTATAATTTCAAAAACATTGGCGTATAGACAATCTAATAAATGCACTGTTGGTATCTGTTACGATATACAAAACTATGAAGAACTTTTAAAATTATTTTGCTTTTTATATACAAAACCGACAATACTCGCTCAGTTGTCAGATATTTTCCAGCACTTATGATGAATAATCTTTCTTGATTTGCTTAGCGATTGTGCTCAATTGCATGTTGGTGGTACCTTCATAGATGGCGCCAATCTTAACATCACGGTAGAATTTCTCTTGTGGGAAATCGCGTGTGAAACCAACACCTCCCATCCAGTCAATACATTTGATTGTAGCACGTTGTGCTACTTCTGAAGCATAATATTTAGCCATGGCTGCTTCTTTATGGAAAGGTGCACCTACAAAGATTAAATAATATGTTAGTTCAGATAAATAATTTATTTATGATTTTTATATTGAAAACCATACCTGCTTCAACTAAACGAGCTGCATTATATGTTAATAAGCGAGCAGCTTCAATTTCAGTGGCAACAGTGGCGATTTGATGTTGCATTGATTGGAAATTAAAGATTTCTGAACCAAATTGTTTACGTTCCAACAGATATGGTATCGTGGCATCGAAACAACCTTGTGCCAAACCAAGCATCTGAGCGCTAATACCAATGCGGCCTTCATTAAGGAAACCCGCTGCGTATTTGTAGCCATGACCGAATTCTCCCAAAAGATTTTCTGCAGGTATACGCACATTATCGAAATTGATCATACAAGTGCCAGAGGCACGAATGCCCAATTTGTCTTCTGGTTTATTGACCACCAAACCGGGTGTGTCACGATCAACAATGAATGTTGTAATACCGCGATAGCCCTGTATTTTTAAAAAATTATTATTTTATATTAGAAAGATAAATAAGAATAAGAGATGTATAATATTTTTATAAATTTTAAATATATTAAAATAATGTACTGATTACTTTAAGTCCACTAAAAAGTTCACTACATTCTTCAAAAAATCTCTACAACACTCCACTGTGCTTGTAACAAAAAGACTAAAAATTTTGGGGAGATACTGAGATACTGGAAACAGTGAACCACTATTTGACTTAATGTTGGCGTTCCGTAGCCATTCGTCAATGGTGACGTCCGGGTCTGCGTTCCGTAGCCATTCGTCAATCTCGACGACCAAATACTTGAACGGAATAGTCCCCAAAGGGACTATACAAGCAGGTTTCAGTGGCTTACAACAACAACAACCTCAACTTAGTATTGATAAACACAAAAACTGAAAATTTGCTAATGTTTTAACAAAACATTCTATTTAGTATACTATACACGTAGTGTTTTCTAACAAAACACTAAATATTTTATCTAAATATTGCAGTCTATTTTGTACTGTACAGTTTATTTTAATTCTCTTCTTGTAATTCAATCTCAACAGTTATTTATACATTTCAGCATAAGTTTAAAATCATCATATAAGTATATCTCTAATACTATTTGTACCTTGGCAATTGTTTAAACATTTCATTGGTCTAAATAGTTGCTAAAATATTAATAAGTTGTCATACAAAAAGCTAAAGTTTGAACCTTCCATTAGTTAGAATAGTAGCTGAAATATTTATAAGCTGCCATACATAAAGCCTTTTACTGTAGTTTCACTATAATATACCGAACCAGGTAGAGTTCCAGAAGAACTAGAGTTCCAAAAGAACGATTGTTCTAGACAAGTAATAATTACTCTAAAGAAATTTTAGGAAAGCAAGAAAGAAAGAAAGAAACCTTATATTAGATTATAGCATTATAAATATTTCAGAACTAAGTAAAGTTAGAATTTTAGACATACTTTATAACGGCTAACCAAATATATTTCACAAGAGAGGGGACGATAATATATATAAATATCGAATAGAAATTAGATGGAAGTTCCAAGTTCACTATATAAAAATAACTTTATACACGATTAAAAAGCCATAAAGTTATTATTTTTTATCACTATTTTAATTTATAATAAAAACAAAAAAGTCTTAACTTAATTCAGAGAGGGTTTTAGTTCGTTGGAGCAACAAGTATATATATTTAAATATATGCCCTTTAAATTAATGAAATTAAAACCTATATATTTTAATATTATATATTGTTTAATACATATCAATATATATTTGTATATATATATGTTTAAAATATTTTGTAACAATACTCACAGCTTCAGGTTTGGCATTGGCAAATACTAAGAATACTCCGGCTACATCTGAATTGGAGATCCACATTTTGGTACCATTTATCACATAGTGATCACCATCTTTTTTGGCAACAGTCTTCAATGAAAAGGCATCAGAACCTGCACCAGGTTCAGTTAAAGCGAAACTTCCAGCCTGTGATTTTATAAAAAATAAAATATTATTAATAAAATATAATAGTTTTTATAAGATTATAAACATATAATTTAAGTGTAATAATCTTATATACATTTATTAATATTTATTTATATTAACATTTTTTAAAATAGTTTTGTATTCATTTTACATAGATTTTAATAAACATTACTTTATTTTTAATAATATATATATAATACAGCAATGCATTTTATCACTTACATATTCTTGAGCTAATTTTGGTAAATATTTCTCCTTTTGTGCTTTACTGGCAACTTTGATCATTAAAGAGTTGACCAATGTATTGTGAATATCTACGAAAGCAGCAACGGCAGGATCAACTTTAGATAATTCTTCAACAGTCAAAATTGTTGTCAGGAAATTGCATCCACTTCCACCCAATTCGGAATCGATTTCAATACCCATCAAACCGTTTTCAAACACTGCTTTTACAACGGATGGATCAAATTTGTGTTCTTCATCCATTTTCTTAACCAATGGAGCAATTTGTTCCTGAGCCAATTTAGCAACTAAAAATGAAAAAATATATATAAAATGTAAATTACTTATATTATAAAAACAAACATATATATATTAAATATAAAATACAAATTATTAATCCAAATAAAATTATTATGTTAAGGAGATATCTATTCTAAATCTTAATAATTTTATAATTTCTTCCTATTTTTATCAGCTGTATCAAGAACCCCAATGTGCTTTACTTGAAAAATTCTTAAAGCTGGAATGAAAACCTCAGTTATTTATTGTAATGTATTTGAATGTTTTTAATTCAGCTGTTAGCTGAGGTATCCATATTAGGCTTTGACAAATAAAACCCATCAAAATGGAGAAATCTTCAAATTTAGGTATAGACAGAAAATATTTTTAAGATAAACTCTACTGTAATTAGACAATCATGTGTGTTGGTTATATATATTATATATATATATGCTTATATATATATATATTACATTGGTAAAAAACATTTATTACAACAAATTACAATAAAAGATCAACTATTTTACATAAAAATCTTTGTTCTAAAATTACTTATATCAGACATCTTTCATATCCACCTCATATATATTAATTATATTTTGAACATCGTCTTTCCATATCCTTTCATATATAACCGATCATAGAGTAACGTGTTTTAGATACAATTAAATAAGTTCACTGCCAATGTTCAATCTTCAAACTGTTTAATCTTTATATACTCGTATATGCGAAAACTACAGTAGACGCTCGACTTAACGAGTCCTCTAAACAACGAACGGTCTTTGTTTTATACTTGTTTTATATATTTCAAATAATGAACATACAAAAATGCTGCCTTTAAAAAGAGAGTTTAGTATATAAAATGTGATATTATCTTCCATATATTTAAAAATTTGTAATTACATTGTATGTAAACTCATTTAACTGAATTATTGTGAAGTACACTTAAGAGATCCATAGAATCTTTGGAAGACAACAACGAACTAAAGGAAGTCTATTTTAGCAAAAACTAACCACAAAACTGCAATATTAAATTTTTATATCTGCAATGAAGGGACCATATAACCATATGGCCTTATAATGTTGGTCAGTATGAAATAATTCTACTGAAGATATTATCTAAAAGTTCCAGATTTTAACTAAATAGAGGCGTATAAATTATTGTTTTGCTGTCAAATAATAGAGAAATATGGATTAAATATACAGAAAAAAGTTTTAGTTTAAAGTGTTAAGTCTCAAAAAGCGTTATACTTTCTATATAATAATTGAACATTATAATATCTTAACATTATATGTTTTGTAATGCCGAGAGTCAACTGTATAATCATAAAACAGATGTTGTAATTGAAATATATATGTAAATATTTCTTATCAAAAAAATTTTATTAAGATAGTAAATTACAATTATTTGCTGATGATTAAATAACTAGAACAGCACAACTGTTTTTAATATATCTATGTATATACTATGTTATAGATGTGTATTTACAAGGTTACCGTATCTAAGCAATATAAATGTACGGGTTGTTTTCTATAGCTCATATTCAAAAATAACTAAGATAAAATATATAAAAGAAATATAAGCCAAAAAAAAACCCATCAACTAATAAAATCTAAACATCTCAGATATGGTTTATATATATGTTACCTATTGAATATGTAATATTATAATTTAATTTGGCAAGTGACTAGACCAGTCATTACATTAAGTTTAAAACGAAATGAATATTAAATGTAACCGAATTGTTATATACTCTAAATAAATATAGATTTAGAATCTATAAAGAAGAATTTCGACGGTATAATCGAACAAAAAAAGTGCTACATAAATTAATTGTTCAGATACAATATTTGAAAATGCTGCCATATATATATATACAATTAATTTTTTTTAAAAATTATTTCATTTGATTCCAAGAAATTATTTAAAAGGTTTATTACGACAATACAATCTCAAATTCATCTAAAATTACCATGGAAAATATTATCGAATTACGACACGGAACCATGTCACACACACTATACTCCTTTAATATAGTTTAGTTTTCACATTTCTTAAACCAATTTTTATTCAAATATTTACATAGAAGATAGGTAGATAGATGACTATATCAATGGTCTAACATTTTCATTACAATCTATAATTGCACTAAAAATTATAAATTGTTATGACGAAAGTGACTATTTTACTAAATCGAAACCTCGCTACTAAAGATTATTAAATAATATATATTTCATTGTTCATTTATAAGTTGAAAAATCGATTTTATAATCATAAGAAGCTTAAAAAAAGCTACGTCAAATATGTAAAATTCAATACTTCTCTTAACTTTTTGCCTTAGAATTCAAATATATGTGTATATAAACACAATACTCTTACATTTATATTAACAATATACTTGTAACCTAGATCCAGAGGTTTGCACTTGTATAACGTCGAACCTAATACAGTCTATAATAAATCCCTAAAAAAAATCAAGAGGTTTACTTAGTCTAACAAGAGAGGACAACTCTGAGGTTAGGGCTTGTATAGGACGGTCCCATGTTATTTGGTACTCACGCTCTTAAGCTATTAGTTATCTTCTATAAAAAATATTGTAAATGTACAATTTTCAATAGAATACTTCTTCTGAAACTACTCAGCTGTAGATGGAAATAAGGTGAACTTAAGGATTGTAACGGGTTTCTTTACAGGCCATTATGGACTGAAATAACACCTTCATAAACTACAATTATTTTCTAATTCGAAATGCAGATTATGCTTCGAAGATGAGGAAACTACCATACATATTCTTTGTGACTGTCTAGCTTTAACAAGGCTCAGAAGACTCTTGTTTCATATGGAACTTTTGTCACTAAAACATATTAGGAACTCTTCTCTAGATTTAGTTCTCGACTTTATTCACAACGACTTTATTCGACTTTATTATCCTAAAAGTAAAAAAGTGGGATCCCGTGTTAAGCAAAGGATCATTAGTGTCTAAATAATCTGATAGTTAATGAATTTTAAGTAAAAATAATTAACTTTTATTCTTCAGAGGTCTATTCTTTAAAGAATTAAATTCAATTAATAAAATAAACAAACAAATGAAACAAACAATAATGTGTACAACCATAAAGACCAAATATAGGGTGCAAAATGAAAATAATAATTTTTGAATACGCAATTCATGTTTTAACAAACTTAAAAAACCAAAATATATATATAATTAAAAATGTATATTCTACTAGTCGATACCACATTTCCTCAAATTGTTTGGAAAATATTTTCTTAATTTTTATCTACTTTTAGAAAATAGAAATTACAAGAACAAAAATTAAAAAATTGAAATATATTATACATAAATATGTGCTATATATATATATATATATATATATATATATGTATATATATTACGTATATGATTTTGTTGCCAAACAATATTGTTTATATATAAATACTATTTTGTTATTAGTAATAAATAATGAAATTTACTTTAAAAATATATATATGAAGTCAAATTGTATAATAAAAACTTTAAGTAAAATTATTAAAAATAACAAAATTTAATATAATAAATAATAAAATTATTATAATTTATAATAATATAAATTTGGAATAATAAATTGACTTAAAACTTGAACAATTCATTTTAATAAAATGAATCTATACGAAACCCTTTAGCTATGTCTTTATCTCTCTATTAGTTTATCACCATTAGATATGAAATTGTATTTGTTAATAAAATATTATCTAAAAGTTTTTATTAAAATATTCTCATTAGCATTGCAGCAGTGATAAGCCACCTCGTGTGGAACCCAATATCGGAACAATTCTTATTGTCAGAGTGGCTTAAGTTATTTATGTTATTAAAAATTAAATAAATTACATTGTTTGAAAATATTTATTTTTTAATATTGTGGGTGTCATTCATCATATTATATCATTTAATTTAAAACTGTAAAAAGTGAAAATGTCTATTGAAAGGTTTTGTGTAGAAACTTAGTATTATTTTTATTATTATGAATCGTTATTATTATTAACATTATTTTATTATTATTTTTATTTTTATTAAAAAAACCAAAAATTTAAAAAAACGATAGAAATATACGCATCTCTTGAACTCGGTAATCGGTAAAGAAATATAAATATAAATGTCAGAACGTCTCTCTTTAAATCTTTTTCGGTAAAGTTGAGAAGTTAAACTGCCATCATATTATAATACATAAGTAATAGTAAATCATAACATTATTTGCTAAAGAAATTATCAAATATTGAAAATAAAGGAATTCTAATTTCTACGAAATTAATTGAAAATAACTAAATGCTAAAATATAGTTTCATTTTTTTATATTATTTTATTTTCTATAATTTATAGAATAGAAATAAACAAGACACCAGCTCCCAACGGAACATTGAATGTGCTATGTATTATGCTATGAACTTTAGGTTGTAAGTCTCTTACAGCATTTTAGATTGAGAAAGTCTTGGTAGCCTTTCCCAATAGAATTTTCTTTCTTTTTCCTCTTGTTTGTTATGAACAAACAATGGATAAAGTACCTAGACCACAGAATGCTTCTTAGCCTATCATTCTTGAGGTTATTGTACTTATTCCCCCAGAAACAATTAATAAGGATAAAATATAAAATAATGTAAAAAAAAAAATATGTAAATAAATATATAAATAAAAAATTATTATACAAATAAAATAAAAAATATTTTTTTAAAAATGTTCTATAGTGTTAAAATATCTGAATTCAAGTAAGTGCTGCACTCCTTTTATTTTTATTAGTTTATTTACTTCAATTAATTAACACAACTATGCTAAGTTAAGAATTGTATCTAATCAATAATTTGTTTATCAATAATAATTAAGTCAATAATAAAAGTAAAAAATAAATGTTAAATTCTCAAATGCAGAGAATATAAATTTTCAAAAATTATAAATAAAAATTGAAATAATAAATTGATTATAAAAATAAAATTATAGTTATTAGAGAGATAAAAATTGGCATTGAACCTGTCAAAATAATCTTAATCCATTGATTT